TCCTTTCTTTTCACATTCTTTGTTGGTGTTTGTTCTAACAAGAATAATGAGCGGATATCAACATGTCATTCAATCCCAGTAAGTGCTTTCCTAGAATAAGTCTTGTATATTTTAGCTTTATTCAAGATAGCAAACTTTAAATTATGAATGGACAAGAAAGACAATCTCCTCAGATATACTTATTGTGACGTTTTCAGGTGCTCAGGACTTTCTTATTCTGTACTCATCACTGTTTTCAACATGAGGTGGTAAAGGACAAAGAAGGCCTCACTGGCGGCAAGAGTTATTCAGAGAATTCTTTTATTCCCAGGATAGCTGCGTGTGAGACACAGCTTCACCGACAAAGTCCACAAAGGTAGTTCAACCGAGCGAGATACAAACGAGTCGTTAACAAATCTTGGAAAACTGCGGTCTGTCAGCAGAGTCAGTTGTTCATGCTTTGAACTTGAAAAGTACTCACAAGGACAGAACTGAACGGTCACAAGGCTAGAGATAGGTTTTGACCCAGACGCTCCCAGACATGACTGCCTCTCAACTGCTTCAGAGGGATGAGCGACAGTGTAAAAACATAAACTTGGAATCCTATAAAAATAAAAATGCAGCATCTTCCACTCTCTGAGTAAATAATGGAGGTGATACACAATCATCTAGGAACAGAATGTTCTGAGAAGAGATGGTCATTAATATCAAAACCAAACATCAGGCTCCGAATAGTACAAGACTAGCCCGTTGGATACGCTGTAAAACTGCTCTCTGTTTACAACCAGCTTTTGGGCCCCTAACTACTGTAACTACTGTTACAATAGCAAGAAAATTACAAATCACATTTGTCTATACATTATATACAGCACTAGAGCTAGGTCGTAAGTATCAATAAATTGCTGACGTAATAAGTCTGTTCACTCGAAAAATAAGCACCCGTTATTTATTGCGGGATATGGCTGGAGCTGCCCGTGTTCAATAATCGCGTATCAGAAGAGCAGAGTTTGCCAAAACATGATCCTCACGGGGCTAATGTCTAGGAATGAGCCAGGCAGAGTTCTGTGGTCATTAGTAAGCTTTCAAACAAAGCACGAGAGACTCAATGTTCATTAGCACATCACAGATCCTGAGAAGCCCGCTCAACATTATTTAAACAAGTATTCCTCAAACGTAGCTGATGGGACACTTTATTCTCAAGGTATTAATGCGCCTGGAGAGACACTAATACAGACACATACATAATCACCGTCTAAAAGTTTAGACCACATTACATGCATATAATCCGTGCAGTTCTATCAACATTATGAATACTCTGTAGGTTGGTGTTCAAATTATATTCTCCTGTTCTCATGGTTTCATTGGAGGGAATAAAAGGATTCACTGCAGTGAAACATCCCTAGAGATAAGTCTGTAGGGAAACCATCCCTCTTCCAGCCTGCATGGCGGGATGCTCTCAATCCCCCTCCCGGGTCAATGCTCGTGACGAACTCACACTCATTCTCCACCCCCTGACCTCCGCGTCCAGCCGACCACTGCGCCTCATGGAGCCTGCCTTCTACACTGTTCTCACACCCATTTCAATCTTTCCATCTCCACAGCCACTTCCCTGGTTCGAGCTACCCACTCTACCCCAGCACCTGAATAATTTCCCAACTGTTCCCCCTAAATCCATTCTTTACCACATGTGGCACAGCCAAAATAACCTCTTAACGTAGAGAAATCTCTTCCACATACCAATTTTCTACTATTTCTATAAACTACTAAGATAAGGAGAATGACAAAACTATCAAGGTTATATGCACTATCAGTTTAAGAAACAAGACACTTCCAGGACGTGTATAATCCCATTCCTTGTTCCAGAGGTTAGCACCCTCTGAATTTTGTGTTTACTGTTCCTTCACTTTTCGTTAGAGTTTTACTGCTTATGTGTTTACCTGTGAGAAGTCCATTATCTGTGCCCCTCAGTTTCAGCTGCATGAATTCCAGACAATGAATATGGCACAAATTATTTATACATTTTTTTCCACTGACAGTCACTTGGGTTCTTTCCCGAATCCCACCTCTTCCTTTTTTTCCACTTTTACAAACAGTGCTGTTATAAACCTTCCAGTTATTATTATTTTTTTATGTTTCGAGGTTTTTGGTTTTTTTTAGCGATTATTTATTTTTGAGAGAGAGACAGAGTGTGAATGGGGGAAGGGCAGAGAGAGAGAGACACACAGAATCTGAAGCAGGCTCCAGGCCCCGAGCTGTCAGCACAGAGCCCGACGCGGGGCTCGAACCCACAAGCCGTGAGATCATGACCTGAGCCGAAGTCAGATGCCCAACCGACTGAGCCACCCAGGCACCCTTAATGTTCCAAGTTTTTATTAAATTGTAGTTAGTTAACAGGAGTAGAATTTAGTGATTCATCACTTACATATAACACCCAGTGCTCATCATAAGTGCCCTCCTTAATGTCCATCACCCATTTAGCCCCTCCTCCTTCCACCTCACCTCCAGCAACTCTCAGTTTGTTCTCTATAGTTAAGAGTATCTTTGGGGCGCCTGGGTGGCTCAGTCAGTTGAGTGTCTGACTCTTGGTATCGGCTCAGATCATGACCTCATGGTTTGTCGGATTCTCTCTCTCTCCTTCTGTCCCTTTCCCCTGTTCATGTTCTCTCCCTGTCTAAAATAAAATTTAAAAACAAAACAAAACACAAACAAACAAACAAAAAAATACAATTTACTCAAAGAGCCATAGCTACTGCCAATGAACAAGGGAGACAATCCCAGTGAAGAGATAAGTCTCTGTATTTTCTCAAAAGGAAGTAGGACAAGGATAGTGGGCTTAATAACATCATCCTTTCTTTTAAATTCAAACAATTCACTGATAGTTGATTCAGAACTTGTTTGCCACTGTTACTTCATCTTTGTATATTTCATCATTGCGCAGAGGAATCTGGATGGTAGGGAAGTTTGGGTTCTCTTCTAAGGACAGGTACAGCTACGTCACCATACAACTGGAGATAAAGAAAGGCAGAGGAAGCAGCTCGGCCAAGCTCAAGTTCTGCAGCTTTAGAAAGCTTCCCGCTTCCTCCTAATTTTTGCCTTCCTATGATTTAATCACCTACTGATCACGTTATAACTACATGGAATTCACATCACGTCCATCTGTAAACTAAGCAAAGAATAGGGCGCCTGGGTGGCTCAGTCGGTTAAGCATCTGACTCTTGGTTTCAGCTCAGGTCATGATCTCACGGTTCGTGAGTTCAAGACCAGTGTTGGGCTCCGAGCTGCTGACAGTGCAAAGCGTGCTTAGGATTCTCTCTCCCTCTCTCTCCCTCTCTCTCTCTCTCTCTCTCTCCCTCCCTCCCTCTCTCCCTCTCTTCCTCTCACCCCCACCGTCTCTGCCCCTCCCCTGCTTGTGCACACTCTGTTTCAAAATAAACAAACTATAAAAAATAAATAAAACTAAGCAAAGACTAAAAAATGAGCACAAAAAACACACGAGCACAACAGCACATGAATCAGGCAGTGTTCTGCAAACTGGAAAAACCTATCAAATCTAGGCAACTGTTATGGTTTGTTCCACTGATGAATATTCTCATTGCCACAAATTTTCACTAACACAGACAATCCAGGGCTCAATAATACACAGCATTAGAACAGTAAATTACACATAAAGTCAAAAACAGGTACGTAGTATGTCTAGCATTATATACTGGAGCAGATGATTAAGTGTCCAGACGACCAAAACTATTGATAACAAGTATTATGATGATAAAATACACTATTATTTTACTTGTGTGGTAAATGTGAACTATTCCAATGTATGTTTGAGTGTCAGGACCTGAACACCCCCTGGACAATTACGGTTCACTGACGAGCCTCTTAGCACGGGTGCTGGCACCCAATACTGTAACAACATGTGTTCGGCATCGTTCAGATCGCAGAGCGCCTCCAAATGTGCTCTCTATCAGACTGGCTAAGCCGGGACGATCTAAACCAGGCCCTCCTGGCAGCCACCGCCCCACCTAGTCAGGGCAGCCCGCCTGAGGACGAAATGAACCCCAAGAAGGACAAGCCTGAGAAATGGAAAGAAAGAGAAACTTTTCGAACGGTATTTTGTAAGCACTAAACCAGATCCAACTTACCTGAAACCAGATATACCCTTGCATCTTTCAGTGATGAGATTCCATAAAGCCTCTTTTCTGCCTAAGCACTATGAGAGTGAAATCAGAGGTTCTCTTGCAAAGCAGCCAGCTGGAGTCTGGCACCGCGTTCTCGATAAATGGTAACAATACCCCTGCCTTCTATGCTGACAGACCACACTAAATGAGAGAAGATACGCAAAACTTCTATCATAATCCCTGATGCAAACAAGGTACTCAATAAATGTCAATTCCCTTTGCAGTGAAAATGATCAGGGGCTGATAATCACATTCATCTCGCATCGTTAACCATTGTTCTCATTGTAGGAAAATGACAAAAAAGAACTATAGACTAACTCCAATGACCTTTTTCACCGCTTACCTTCCCAGGCATCCAGAAACACATTGCTAGCAGGAAGAAAATAAGCATTATAAATGGATGGCGAGAGATGTTAAATGAGCCAGGCAATTGCTAGCATTTGCCCCATACAAAACCTCGGCATAAATGTAGCGATTTCAGGTTCTGCAAGGGGTAAGGGACCACAACCTACTCCCTCTGACGGAGACACTTGCTGAACCATTCGATGGCACACGGCAGGATCAAAATGCGAGACTCACGGTATTTGGAACATATGGTAAGCCATAAAATTTCTCCTGGGTTTCCCTGAGAATGTCTGTGGTCGATGCCGTCAGGGGGTGCTTCCCATGGTAGATCTGATCCAGGGCGGCATAAAAGACCTAAGAAAGATGAAAACGTCCACTTAGTTCTGGCAGTCCAGCCTTACATCTAAGACGCAATGGGCCAAAGGTGTTAGAAGTGTACCAGAATAAGAAGTACATGTAAGTTACGTATACGTAACATTCACAAATATAAACGTATATGGCTTGAAATGTAATTTGAACCACAATTCAGACCATGCTAATGATGAAAAGGAAAGCTGTCAACCTTTTTGTGATGAAGGATATTAAAATTTTTTGAACCGTATCTATAAGGTACTCTTTACGTACAACGTAGTAAATTAAATTTGTGACCACAAAACTGGAGGTTGGCCCATTGCTATCTATAGATATATGCAAAGTATATAGTTGGAAATAGGAGAAAAATAATAAAGTTCCAACTTGTGACCCTCTGGATCTAATACATCCTGCGTGGTTTCTTCCTGGAATCCTGATATATCTTAAATGAGAGAAATGAAATGGTCCGAATCCACGTTTTGTGACGAGAAGGGACGGAACGTGAAACAGATGGGGCGAGGTGAAGGAAGAACGACTCTCTTGCGACGGGTGAGTAGGGACGGTACAAAGAATTCTGGCGCAGCTGTTGGGGAGTCTGGAGCCCGGGTCCAGCCAGCTCCCACACCTGGTGTCAGCAGATACCAAGAAAACAGCTGCTGTGCACGGGCAGTTCTGGGCCACGAGGTGACCGGGAGAGAAGGCTCCCTCACCTCTGAGTGGAGGACACAGGCCATCGAAACACGACAGGAGAAGAAAGCGTTAGTTTGCACGTGAAATCGGCAGCTCACAAAGTTCCGAAAAACTAAACTTCACGTAGAAAACCTAACGTAAAGATAAAAGTGCTTTCTCCCCGGGACATCTGGCTCGAATACTAGTGTTTGCGTGGAGTTCACCTGAAGCAAGAAAGTAGAAAAGGCTTGATTTTAAAGGAAAAATTCTGACACGCAATTATGTTTCTGATATGTATCTTTCTGACTTGAAAACGGAATTTGCAGAGAATGTGCAGCTGTTGACTTAAAAGAACTGAGGATTAGTTTGGATAAAAGAAAAAATTTAAATGACCTCCAGCTTTTGGCTTCCTCTAGATATAGAATTATGGTTCCAAATTATAAGTCAAGCTTAAACCTCCCCTAGAAAAATATAGACATCTCCTAAATATAAATATTGCTTCACTCTAAGTGGTAATCTAAGCATATAGCTAACTACAGCTCTTTCAATTCCATATTCTATAATGAGTAATCATGCAGAGAGAAATCAGAGGAGCCTAAATTACTCACCCACGTCTTGTCCATATTCCAACAGAATAAATTATCAGGAATCGAAAGTTAAATTCTAACCTCCACTAAGGTGTGAGGGGTTTTTTTGGCCTCAATCTACAAACAAATCTGAATTCAGAAGGTTCATTCCTACAGCCATGCCTTCCATACGCGAGTACGAAACGACTTTTTTTAATGACAAAAGCAGAGCAAAATAAACGCAATGCGCGTGTGTCTCACCCTCACCTGCTGCTCACCAAACAATTTGAGAGTGATGAGTCTATCTGCCTACCCAGCGAGTCATGCTCTCCTGGGACCAAGAACCTCAGAGCCACAGAAAAAACAGGAGCCCATTTTTAAAACAATGCGTAACACACAAAAAAAAAAAAAAAAAAGAAAAGAAAGAAAATTGCAATTTTCAGAACACTTTGTATGCCTCCCTAGACACCAGACCCAGTTCATTTCCTTTCCAGCCTCGTGTGTCTGCAGCGTGCAAGGGGACTGCTGCGGGACAGGAAAGCCTGCAGGGGCAGCTGTCTGGCAAGCACTTGCCTCCCTCTCTTTCTCTCTTCCTCTGCGTCTCTCGGTGGGTGTTACTCTCTTTGGAGGGTGGAAGGAGGGAAAGGTTGGTTTTCCTTTTGAAAGAAATCCCTTGGAACAATTACTCAGAAAGAAAGCCACAAGGGCAGAGCTTCCACTATAGATATCGGCAAATCAAAAGACTTGAAGTTGAGTAACGCAGAAATTTTCAAATAACTTGAAAATGTTTCGAATAACACAGAAATCCTTTTAAAATTATACTGATAGGCATGGGCATTAAATAACGTAAGTTCAAGTGTAAGGCCATGGCTTTCTCGATAGCATGCATTTTCTTCGAATGTATATTTGAAAGTGCAACATAAACAGAGTTCGTAAAGGCTGAATTCTACAAAGCCATAAAGCAATTAAATGGTGCCCGCACTTTGAAATAGGTAGCTGGACCATTATAAAAGCGAACACTGCCTGACATGAAAGACGGGTGTTTGGGTTGTGTTTATAGAATTCTCCAGATCTGATGAAGAGCAAGAATGCGATAAACAATCTGAGCAATTAAAGTAACCTGAACATCTGGTATCGTGTAGACCTGACATCCAGATGGTTCATAAAATTTTTCTAGTCTCTATCTGGAAACCGAGAAGACTGCCTTTGAATATTATCTAAAACTAACAATCCTCACTGTTTAAACTTCACGTCAAAACCACCAATTTTTAAAAAGACAAAGTGACTAAAAACGTAACTTGCAGGCTGAAATGTAGGAGTTAGAAGAAGTCACGTGACTCCTCCGCGCTTGGACTTTCCCAGCTGAAACTGGGAAATAAACTTATTCAACGTCCATTTCCCAAGGACAGTGCGAGGCCTGAATGAGTCGGGTTTGGTCAAGTTCTTCGAACTCGGGTGAAAGATGTGTTAGAAGCATAATTATTATAATCAAGGTGGCGCGCTGGCAAGAATTTAAAGTTACATATTTATTTTGAATAACTGCTCTGGAAAACGTGAGAACAAAGGGACATACATACCTGAAGTTGCATATCGGCTGCAGCACCCACCTTTTTGGACTCACAAAGCCGAGACACCATATTTTTGGGCAGTGACTTGAAAAACAAAAGAACACATGTGTGAGTCAATTGCTTCCTACGTCACCGCACTGGCTGCTTATCAGGCAAGAGAGTTAAAAATGACATCAGACGCAAAAATTCCTAGAATTTAATCGCAGTGGCTGTCAAATCAAGGTCTGTACACGCAAAGATAGCGCTGTAGGCAAAGAGCGTGATAGCGTCGACCTCTAAACGTCTATTTAAAGCCTTAGTAAAAGTTGATGCTTTTTCTGTACCGCTGTTACCAGTGGAAGCCTGTCCAAGTGCTCTGTTGGCTAAGTGCACACAATAATGGATGACAGGAATAAAAGAGTGAAGTGTCAAAAACAGATGACAATTCTCGGGTGTCAGCCTGCACTGAAGCTGACTGGCTGTCCCAACAAATGACCATGACAGTGAATTGCACATTCTCTTATTTTCCAGCCTGAGAGAGGTGCAGAACTTGGAAGCTCAGTGTCATGGCCCTGTCTGCTTTGGGGCTTCCTGCCTGAGACCGATTAGGCCTCATCACACAGCAGCACATACTCACGTAGAAATAAAATAACAATCTGGTCGAGGAAGCACGTCGGTCAACTGGCTCTACTTGAAAGTCACTAATACTGACGTTTCCTGAAAAAGGTGACCACTCTGTGCAACTCTACTTATAATCTAAATGACGTGAGAAGCCTCCCTGCAGAGAAACACATCAGGGAGGCACAAGGCGGGTTACCAGCACTCCAGCGGTGCACACGAACCACCGAAGGAGGACAACGGAAACGGTCTGCTGGCAGGGGCACCGGGCACGGCGATTCAGGGGTGTGTATCTCCTCGGAGTGCCCGCCCCACAGCAGATGCTCAGTAAATCTTTCCGGAAGAAATGAACGAACACGAGAACAATCATTTAAAAGGGCTCCTTGAGTGAAAGACTACACCGGGATGTGACGGAGGCTCAGACAACAAAGCCTGTTCTCTCCTCTTTCTGTCTGGCCGTAAGAAAGGCAAACAAGGCAAAAGAAAGAAAAGAAAAAAAAGGAAAGTTTAAGGCTGTAGAGTACACATTCCAGTGCAGGTGAAAGGCCTGGGGCTTTCTCACACCAGGGGCGGCCATCCTGAGTGAAACAAAAATTTCCTCAGACGGGATTTTAAAAGGTCAAGACTCAGTTAAGTCACGTATGCCAAGAACTCGTACCAGAACGTTCAGGTTTCCCTACACCCTTACTTTACGTGATACCTTCCGCTGACGGGACTCGCGCTACACTTGGGTTTTTTATGAGTCACAAAGCTTTAAGAGTTTCGTTTCCATTCTCGAAAAGTCTATGTGGCGGGATGGCATTTTCTCATTTACCCAAAAACGAAGAGTACTGTGGACGAGCACTGTACCGGGCATCGGGGACACAAAAGGGCCACCAGACAGGGCCCCGGCCCCGCAAGCTTCACAAGCTGGCATTACCCACGTAGGCACGATTTTTAGGAGTCACCGACTGGTGCGAGTGCTGAGATGGAAAAGCATGCAGGTCGGTATGAGAAAACAGCGCAGACAGGCTTAGGTGAGGAGCTCACGTAGAAGTGCAATGTGCAAAACGAACGGGCGGTAACGAGACAAGGGATGGGCGGCCGGGAGCAAGGAGCATCCCAGGCAGAGAAGAGGGGGCTGCCGGCAGGAGGTGAAAGAGCCGTGGTCAGGAAAAGCGGGTCCCACCGGGCTGGAGAGGCAGGCAGCAGCCAAGCGGGGACACTGGTCTCCACCCTCGGGAGTCCTCGGGGTAAGCCGCTGGGGAGTTTAAAGCAAAGGAGTCACAAGGTCAGGTCTGTGTTTCTGAAAGATCCCTTTGGCTGCAGTGGAGACACTGGATAGGAGGGCGGAAGTGGATCAGGAAAAAACAGGAGGCTATAGTTAGTGCCCCAGTGACGCACGTCAGCAACCTAAGCAACTGCCGGAATGACAGGGGCGGGGGCACCGCTCTAGACGGCTTGAGCTGAGTGGGAGGTGAGACCCAGAGACGGTGAATACACATGACCCAGCACTGTTTCCAGAAGTGTGCGGAGAGGAGCAGGGTGAGGGCAGTAGGGGCAGAGGGGAGGAAGCTTTTGTTTGAGGTTGGGAAATGCACAAGCAGGCTCAAGACAGGCTGATGGTAATGAGGCCTCGAGGGACACAAACTGGAGAAGAGGCCACGGGAGCCTGAGGTTCTTGAAAAAGAAGGGGACACAGGCGAGAGGCCGCTCGGGTGTAGGGCTCCCTGGACGGGCGTCTCATAGGCGACGAGGTGGATTCTGAGGCTTAAGGAAGTGAGAGAAAGTTGGGGAGAGTGGTCCATTGAATCATCAGCCCTGGGGGAGCTCTGGGATCACAATGGGGCCTGGGATGCGGCAGCACCGGGGATGGGGGAGTGGACGGTGGATGAGAAGGAGCATCCAGTCAGCAGTGGGAGACGCAGGGGTGGCAAGGCCCATGGCGGGGTGCCCCCGCTGGAGGGGGTGTGGGGAAACGAGGAGCCGGGGGCCCCACAGCAGGCCAGGCAACTTTGAAAGGTTTACTCCTTCTGCTCTCTAGACAACGATATGGAAAGGCCAAGTTCTGGATCCCAGACCCAAACCCAACATACCCCTTTCCGTTCGGAAGTCTTGACAGGCCAACCCCTCGGGGACAAACCCACATAGAAATGGCACACGTTAAAGGAACAAATTTAATGAGGCTTCATTCTTTCCTCGTCGGGTTTACAATAAAACAAAAGATGCGAAGAAAGACACCATGTAAGAACAAGGACAGCTAAAAACAGTTAAACTACATCAAAACTCATGTAGTAAAAAGGAGACACGCGGGCTGCTGTAGTGACACAAAAAGTCACCGCTTGAGGAAGTGAGTACCACTGCTGGTGAAGGTGACATGGGACCTGCGGGTCACTTTTTGCCGCTTCCCGTGAATCTGTGATTCTTTCAAAATCCAGGGATAGGTCCAAACAAACCTCCCAAAATTATGTCTTCAAGGCCCACTCTACATTCCGTAGTAAATTCAAGGAACGTTTTACCAAAAATGTGAGTAGAAGTTACGTACGATGGGGGTAGAAAAGAATCATAAATCCACCAAGTCGCAAATTAAATAGGATGTTTATAGCACGTGAGGTGTAAAGAGATTTTTTAAAAACCTAGTTTGGGGGACTAGGGATTCCCTCGTGAGGACCACTGGGCACTGGACGGGAGTGCTGGATCACTGTTTCGTACACCTGAAACTCATACTGCACTGTACCCCAGCCAAGTGGAATTTGAATAGAAACTTAAAAATGAATGAAAATCTAGTGTGGCTCTTGATCAACGGATTTTGGCTCTTCGTCTATTGAAATTAATCAGCGCATTTCAGCGGCTGGAACGGACGTAAGCTTGTCACCGCTGCTGTATCTCCCGCAGTTTTCGTTCAGACCTCCACACCAAAGTGAGTATCACAATAAAGCCAGTTAAATGAATTCTGGGGTTTCCCGGTGCATACAAAAGTTACACTTACACTATGCTGTAGCCTATTGAGTGGGCAATACCATTATGCCTAAAAAAAAAAAAAAAAAAAACAAAATATATATACCTTAATTAAAAAATACTTCATTACTAAAATATGCTAACCGTCCTCTAAGCTTTCGGTGAGTTGTAATCACCGATCACAGCTCACTGTGACAAATTCAATAAGAACGAAAGTTTGAAACACCGCAAGAATTACCAAAATGTGACACAGAAACACAAAGGGGGCAAACCCTGTTGGAAATGCGGCACCCGCACACCTGCTTGGTGCAAAGTTGCCACAAAACATCAATTTGTAAAAAATGTAACATTTGAAAAGCACAATAAAGCGAAGCACAAGAAAATGAAGCATGCCTATGTTTATGTTATTCTCTTAGAAAGTACTTCCTTTTTTTCTTACAAGAACAAAAATAGGACAAAACTTTAAATACCATACAAATTGATTTTCAAGTTATATGAGAATCTTTTTAATAAAAATATTTAGAAGTTAAATCTTAAATGTCAAATTAGAAAAATGTTTCCTGGCGGCGCGTGGGTGGCTCAGTCGGTTGAGCGTCCGACTTCGGCTCAGGTCATCATCTCAGGGTTCCTGAGTTCGAGCCCCACGTCAGGCTCTGTGCTGATGCCTTGGAGCCCGGAGCCTGCTTCCGATTCTGTGTCTCCTTCTCCCTCTGCCCCAGAGTCATGATAATCAACACTGAAATCAACCAAATTTTGCTGTCCTTCTGGAAGTGGTTGTATCTACCGAGTAGCACAGATATTTCAACGGTCTCCTAATGTGAAGACACTCACATTTGATATACTGAAGAAACAGAATTCAAATGCATCCAAGCTTCAGGTAAATGCATTTAAGACACCCGAGCCTCAAACAGTACTGCAATTAGTTTTCATTATATTAAATTAAAAATTTATAAAAGCCCATAGCATCAGAAATAACTGTTTCACCGTATCATCAACTGCATTTTTTTTTTAATTTTTAAGTTTATTTATTTTGAGATGACATTGACAGCACAAGTGGGGGAGGGACAGAGAAAGAGAGGGAGAGAGAGAGAGAATCTCGGGCAGGCTCTACACTGTCAGCACAGAGCCCGACGCGGGGCCCCAACCCACGAACCATGAGTTCACGACCTGAGCGGAAACCAAGGGTCAGACAGACACTCAACCGACTGAGCCACCTGGGCGCCCCTCATCCCTTGCATTTTTTAGCAGATTCTACTTCAATCTTCATAATTTCCAAGGTAGGAAGTACGTTCATGGACCACTAAGCCTCCGATCCCAACGATGACATGTTATTCCCAGTTCTCCTTGGGATCTGGACGCTGCCATCGACATTCAAGATTGAAAGGAATCCTACTAGCATACGAAGAATGCTATAAATCAAGAATAAAGTTCAGATCGACTAATTCGGGTAAGCAATGATGTCATGAGACACCTGGGTGGCTCAGGTGGCTAAGCACCCAATTTCGGCTCCGGTCATGATCTCATGGTCTGTGGGTTCAAGCCCCACATCA